GCGGTAGTTATTTTCCAACGGGAAAATTCGAATTTTTGCATACTTGCTAAATCTCGGATTTCCAATTTTCTCTCAAAAAATGACTCTTAAAAATTTTTGCCTCAAAAACCCGGGCCAGTGAAAATTCCTCCACAGGCCCGGCCCGGCCCGGCCCGCTACATGTATGAATTTTTGATTTCTTTTCACAACAAATTTCTGGTTTTTAGCCGAGTTTCGTTAAAACTGTATTAAGAAAAAAAACAAAAACGCAAAGTGGAAGAAAGACAAAATCAACAAATCAAGAGAAGAAAAAGCGGTTATTTATTAGAAAATTCCAAAGACTTTTGAAGAAGAGACTGCGAAGTAGATAAATCCATTTCTTTGAAATTCAATGACACGATCAATTGGATATCGGAAATTGTGGTGATTTCAGAGAGGCACTTGTTCTGAAAAAGGACAAAAAAGATCAGAAAATATTATTAATTTTCAGAAATACCTTCAAATGCGAATTCTTCAATAATAACTCCTCACATCTTCGAATTGCTGTCGGAGCGTCGTACATATCAGACAAATGGAGAATTCCAGAGACAGTGTCATCTGAAAATTGTTCTTCAGCAATTTAAAAACTTCAAGCGATTACCATCTACAGAAGATTTTCGTCAAAATTTCATAAGATTTTCTTTTCCGAATCCACTCATTTTAAGAATTTCAACTTCAAATTCAACGGTCAAATTGTCATCAATAAGATATTCGATTTTCATTACTTCCCAATCTAGGAATTCACCAAATCCCCAGCCCGTTATTGTTTCGTAACAGTGATCCATTGTTTTGATAACATCATTATGCGAATAGTGATTACCAGTTGGCTTTAAAATGACACTCATTTTCACTGAAGTGAACATCGTCCTCTTCAAATTCGACGACTTTGTTGAACACATGCTTCAACACAAATTCCTTTGCCGATTTTGGTTTTTCTTCAAATTTCGGAATTTTCGAAACTGATTCTTCGATGGATCGGAGCTTTTCTGCGATTCTGAATTTCTGAATTTCTGAATTTCTGAATTTCTGAATTTTTGAATTTTTGAATTTTTCAACTTTCGAATTTCTGAATTTTTGAATTTCTGAATTTTTGAATTTCTGAATTTCTGAACTTCTTAATTTCTGAATTTCCGAATTTCTGAATTTTTGAATTTTTGAATTTCGGAATTTCTGAATTTCTGAATTTCTGAATTTCTAAATTTCTGATTTTCTGAATTTCTGAATTTTCTAATTTTTGAATTTTTGAATTTTCGAATTTCTGAATTTCTGAATTTCTGAATTTCTGAATTTCTGAATTTCTGAATTTCTGATTTTCTGATTATCTGAATTTCTGAATTTCCGAATTTCTGAATTTCTGTATTTCTGAATTTCTGAATTTCTGAATTTTTGAATTTTTGAATTTTTGAATTTTCGAATTTCTGAATTTCTG